GCGCGCGGATGGGGACCAGCCGGCCAGGAGCTCATCAGGGTGCGGAGGAGCCAGCAGCTGGGAGAGCTGAGGAGGAGCCGTCTCTGGCTCTCCCCACAAGGCCTGGGGCAGCCTGACCACCCCCCCAGGCCCTTCCTCATCTGCACAGCAAGGAGTGCAGGTTGGCATATTGGGGACACTCCCGTGACACCCCAGAGAGCCCCGTCTCCACAGATTTTCAGGAAGCACCTCCCAGCTTTGGAATGTGGCCGTTCCAGGTGGACCCTGACACTCCGGCCCAGCGGCCCAGCGAGGAGCGAGCGGGAGGGTCCTTCAGCCAGGACCATCGGCCACCAGCTGGGGCTTTGTGGGGAGGGCAGGATGGGTCAGGGGTGCTGAGAGGCAGGCAGGTCCTGCCAAATTACCAGTGGGACCCAAAGGGTTGAGCTTGGGGCCAGAAGACCCTACACTGCTCCCCTGTTCTTTCTGGCATGGGGGGGAGGGAGGGAAGTTCACAGCAGGATGACAAGGGGCACAAGACCCCAGCTTCCTCCTACAGCCCTGGAGGCTCTCCCCCCAAATGAGGGGAGCTCTAACTCCCAGGTGCTCTCAGTCCTAGGGTGAGGAGTGTATATGGTCCCTTCTCCCAGGTGACCCCAAGGCTGCTCAGGCCAGGGCTGCGAATGGCCCCCTGATTCCCAGGAGAGGATGTTCCAGCATCAGACCTAGAAGCGTCCATAAGGGGCCTAGATACCCCCCCACTCCTTGCACCAAGCAAGGGGTTTTGCTCATCAAGGTCTCAGGATATGAGGCCAAGGGGGATTTCCGGCTAATGGTTGGGGGTGGGGGGCTCTGGGGAAAACCAAAACGGGGTTCAAATTCCGTGATTGCAGGCTCTGGCCTTAAGGTCCCTTCCTGGCTCCTAGCTGGAGATGGGCTCTTGGCTGGCCGGGGAGCAGAGCCTCCTCTCAGAGCAAGCCGCTGCGGGGAGTGGGATTGTCTGCCCCCACTTCCCCGCCCTCTTGGGCCTCAGAGGCCAGCAGCTGGGGTGCGGAGCCGCCCAGGTGGCTGTGCGAGGCGAGGCGGCCAAGGCCGGCAGGCGGCAGCTGGGCCCCAGACGGCAGGCCGCAGCTGGAGCTCAGAGCAGCCCTCCTGTGACTGAACCCAGTCTCAGGGCCCTCAAGGGGCCCCAGGAGGGAGCCAGCCCTGTGGTGCGGGGCAGTCCCACATCTGGGCAAGGGCACCGGGTCCGTAGCCGAGGTCCCGCAGGCCCAGGCCTCTGGCTGGATTATTGGTCTGAAGGGGCCTCACGCAGGGTTTCAGGTGGGACCCCCTGCAACGCTGACGGCCCTCCACCATATGCCGTCCTCCCTCCCTCCCCGGTGCCATCAGCCAGCCTGGGCCCTGAACCTGCCCCAACTTGGGCCCTAGCTCTTTTTCTTCCTGAAATGTTCGCTCTCTACCTTTTCCCAGGAACTGCGCACATGTCCACACATGGATCGCAACTCCCATCAGTTAACCGTGTGCTCATCTGAGGTCGCTAGCTCTCCCCCATGTCTTCCTCCCCAAGGGCCAGCCCCCCGCACCCCCAAACCATATCTGTGGATACCCTCCTAAGGAAACAGGGCCCCCCTCTGGGTTCTCATTTCCCCAGCTTCCTTGCCGCTGGGCATACACCAGATCTAAGTTTAGCCAGAAGCACCTGCTGCCCACCTGAATGGGAGCCAAGAAGCAAAGAAGCAGGAATAATGTGAAGTCTATTGCATGCGACTGGGGGCAGGGAGTGGGCAGAGAAGGGCAAGCCCCACACCCAGCATCTGTGGTGTCCCTGGCCTGCGGGCCACTGCAGCGAGGTGATTTGGAATATTGTTCCCGCTCCTTGTCCCCAAACCTAAGTGTCTGCCCTCTAGACATTCCATGAGCGCTTTGCACCCAGGACCTCAATCTACCTTGGTCGCTGAGGGATGGCCAGCATCCATGACAAAATAATAATTGTATTTCACACACTCACTGGCCTCTGGAGGTCCTGCCTCTTTTTATGTTCCCACCACCCTGGGAGGCAGGTACTATTCTTGTCCCCACTTTATAGATAAGAAACCTAAAGATCAGAGACGCAGCCACAGGCTGGGAAATCAGGCACTCAGTCCCGCTGCCATATCCCCCAACATGGGGATCCCCCAGACATCTGTCTAATGAGCAAACGGGGGGTATGCACATCACATGTCCCAGGAGAATTTCCAGAGCTTGAGCAGCCCACCCTGTTCCAACCCAGGCAACTCAGTTTACCCAGCACACATCTTCAGCCACCTGGGGTCCAGCCTGGTGACCACCATGGGCCAGACTCATTGGAGCTCTAGGTTTTTTGTTTTGATTTGTTTTGTTTTTCAGGTAAAATTCGCACAACATAAAACTAACCGCTTTGGAGTGTAGAATTGTTTAGTACATTCACAATGTTGCACAATCTCCACCACAGTCTATATTAGAACATTTCATCACCCCAAAGAGAAACCTTGCACCCGTTACCACTCATTCCCCATTCCTCCCTGTCCCCTGGCAACCAGCAGTTTGCTTTCTGTCTCTATGGATTTACCTATTCTGGACACCTCATACAAGTGGAATCATGACATATGTGGCCTTTTGTATCTGGCTTCTTTCACTCAGTGTGACGCTTTCAAGGTTCATCCATTTTGGAGCACGTGTCTGAAGACTATTGCATTACACATATAGACCGCATTTTGTTTATCCATTCATTTGGTGATGGATATTTGGGTTTTCCACCTTAGACGATTGTACACAATGTTGCCGTGAACGGCCATGTACAAGCTTTCGTTGGGACACTTGTTTTCAATCCTTTTGACACCATGCCCAGAAGTGGAATCGCTAGGTCGTATGATAATTCTGTTTCAGCTACTGAGGAGCCACCAGACCGTGTCCCCCAGTGGCCGCCTCAGTCTACGTTCCCACCAGCAGCGTGCAGGCTCCAGGCTCTCCACACCCTCGCCAACACCTGTTCTCCACTTCTGACCACGGCCATCCTACTGGCTGGGAGGTGGTATCTGACCCACTGCTGCTCAACTGAGGGTTTTCCCTCCTCCCACCAGTCAGGGCCACAGAGGCCTCTGGGCTGGGTGAGGGCAGCCTGGAAGCAGAGGCCCAGCGCTGGGAGGCTTGAAAGCCCAGCTGTCCTGGGAGGACCCACCAGCATCCAGGAGTTGAAAACTCTGAGTGGAGGAGTCTGGGGTGCAGAAGGTAAAGCCGGCCCCTGGGGGGCGGGAGCGCAAGGCAGGGCCAGTGTCTGCGTCTGGGGAAGCATGCGGGTAAGCAGCCAATTGCCACAGCAGGGTCAGGGGTGCAGTTCTAAAGGAGCAGGAATGGGGAAGGTGGAGACACAGATGGACGGGGAAGTTCTGGGGAAAGCTGTTCACTTTTGCTAATTATGTTGAACAAACCAAAACGGGAACTCATTTTGGTTCAATGTGCAGGCTAGGACACATTAGAGCAAACACCAGTGGGTATAATATGCACGCTTTTCCCTTGTCCCGGAATTTTGTTGGCAATCGTAACTGCCATCCCTGCCGCGCACCGTGCCGAGCACTTTCACGCATGGGCTCCTGTAATCCCACAAAAGAACCTCTGATAGAGGTACGGTCATTACCCCACTTTAAAGAAGAGGAAACGGAGGCACAGAGAGAGGTCACAGGACTTGCCCTGAATCTCCCAGCCAGGAAATGGCTCAGAGCCCGGTCTGCGTGAAGCACAACCCCACTGGGTCACGCCATTCCGCTGAAAGTAGCACTCCCCTGCCTGGGACCGGGGATAACAGGCTCCTAGAGGGAGAGCGCTCCTTGGGCAGGTTCTCCCCAAAACCCAGGTCAGCTGGGGCCAGGGGGAAGGTGGAATTCTCTGGATGGAACCGAAGTTTGAAGCCACTGCCTCTGGCTGGCCGGTCCCAAGTATGACCTCTAAGCTGATTCAATAACAGGGGTACAGCCAGTGTGGATTGCTGAACGAGCAGAACTCATTCTCAGCACTTCTGTTAGCCTCTCTGAGTCTCAGTTCCCCTCATCCAGAAAATGGGCACACAGCCACCCCAAAGGTGCCTGTGGAGAGGACCCGTGCGTGTGACACAGCCTGCCCTCTCCTTGGTTGAATGACCCCAGGCCAGGCCAACCTCCGGGGCACCTCAGACTCATCTTGGGTTTCGAGGGCTCTGCCACAGCATCTCATACCCCTCAAGGGCCCAAACATGGGCTGTTAGGGGCCCTGTTTGGTCTTACTGGGATACCAGCCAGAGCAGCCTGCTGTGTGTGCAGCTCAGCACTCAGCCTCAGGCCTGGTGAGGACAGAGAGCACTCAGGGCCCACGGCAGTCGGCAGGGTGGGGTGGGTGGGGGGCTAGGAGGGTGCTGCCAGAGCCCCTGGCAGCCTCTAATCTCTTGCCCCACAAGGGGCTGCAGGTGCTCCCCAGAGGACACAGCCTCCCCATTGCCCTGAATTAGGAGAGGGGCTCGGGAAGCCCTGCCCCAGTTCTGGACCCCTGTCCCAAAAGGCAAGTCCTGTCTTTAAAAAAGGGGGTAATGGCATCCACTGGACTGTAGATGGGAGGGATTAAGGAGAAAAGGTCTGCTAAAGATGTTCATGGCACTTTGTGGGTGTGGAGGGTGAATAAATGCTTTTTTTTTTCTCCCCACCCACCCGCTAGAAGCCTCCTAAGCAAACACCTGCCCCCCCCCCTTTTGATTTTCTGGGAAAGAATCTCATTCTGTCCTCAGTGAGGTGCACCAGCAAGGTGAGCTGATGGGGCCGATGAACTAGGTTGGCTGGAGACCAAGCCGACGACTCATCGATCCTGGCCCCCTGAACTCCCAGTGGTGGCTGGAGCAGGGAGAGATTCTTGGGGGTCCCTGGGGTGGAGCGCTCAGCCAGGGCTCAGGCAGAGAGGATCCAGGAGCCTACCCCGAGGCCCACCGACCTCGGTAAGTGGTAGCGCCCCACTGCTTCCCAGCGCCGCCCAGAATGTGTCTATCCAGGTGGCGGGATCGGGCGACTCCCCCGTGGCGCCGTGCCGGGGACGCCCGGTGCCTCCCGCAGGTCACCAAGGGCGCCGGGGCCCGCGCCACACCTGTCCGCTCCTCCTGGAGGCCCCGGCGCCGCTGCTGCCGGCCCCTCGGCGCGGGGCCCTGTGTCCGCCGTCGCTTTGATCCCGGGGGCCCCGCTGGATAAAAGTCCCGGGCGGCTCCGCGCCAGCGCCAGAGGGGGAGCGCAGCCGAGCCGGCGTCCCAGCGGGCTGGCGCAGGGCGAGCGACGCCGAGGAGCCGGGGCCGCGGGGCCGGCCGCGGTGAGCGCGGGGCTCGGGCCGGATCGGGGCGGGAGGGGGGGCGGGCCGGAGTCCGGGTCGCCCGCGGGCTTCTCTGGGTCTGGGCAGCGGGGTGAGGGGGGACCCCGGCGGCTCAGGTGAGCGCGCCCGCCCTGCGCCCCCAGCCCGTCGGGCCCGGCCCCTGCGCAGCAGGCGGAGTCCCGGCGCGGAAAAGCCCCAATCCTGCCAGCGCCGCCCCCCCGCCGCCCCCTCCAGCCTCCCGGGGGCGGGGGTGGCGGCGCCGGGCCGGCCGCGGGGAATGGAGCTGCCGGGACCGCGGGGCCGCGCTGCCCCCCACGGAGCCGGGCCGGGAGCGCCTCCGGCGGCCGCGGCGGGGTAGGCCAGGCCCCTCCGTCAGGCTTGCGGTTTGGGAAGAAAAGGCGATGCCTCCGCCAAGAAAAGAGCGAATGCGGCCCCCTCCCCCTCCGCCGAGCCGGGCGGCGGCGGCGGCGGCACATCTAACGCGCGGGCACCCGGGCCGCCGCGGCCCCCGCAAACTACGCCCAGGCTCGGCCCCCGCCGCTTATTGGCGCGGGCCGGAGCCAGCGCACCCAGACCCTGCGCTGCCCTCGCCGGCCGCGCGCGGAGCCCGAGCTGCCCAGGCCGACGGCGCCCGGCCCCCGGAGCCTCGACGCCGAGCCGCCTGCGCTTCCTCTGCCGGGCCCAGCGCGGGGAGCGGTGCGAGCGAGCAGGCGCGGCTGGCGCCCCGCGGCCCGGCGCCCCCGGCCCGGCGCCCCCGCCGCCGCCGCAGCCGCCTCAAGGCCGCCCGCTCTCCGCAGGTGGCCGCGGGCCCGAGCGGCGGGGCCATGGGCCGAGGGGTGCGCGTGCTGCTGCTGCTGGGCCTGCTGCACTGGGCCGGGGGCGGCGAAGGCAGGAAGACCTGGCGGCGCCGCGGCCAGCAGCCGCCCCCGCCGCCGCCCCCGCCTCGTGCCGAGGCCGCCCCTGCGGCGGGGCAGCCGGTGGAGAGCTTCCCGCTGGACTTCACCGCCGTGGAGGGCAACATGGACAGCTTCATGGCGCAGGTCAAAAGCCTGGCTCAGTCCCTGTACCCCTGCTCGGCCCAGCAGCTCAACGAGGACCTGCGCCTGCACCTCTTGCTCAACACGTCCGTGACCTGCAACGACGGTAGCCCCGCGGGGTAAGGCCCGCACCGCCCGCACCGCCCGCACCGCCCGCACCCGCCCGGCGCGCCCCTGCACCCGCCCGCACCGGCTCCGGCCGCCTGGCCACCAAGGCGCGAGTGCCGTCCGCCTCCGTGCCCCCTCGGACGCACGGCGTCTCTGCGCTGGTCGCCCCCGGGGGAGAGGAGCCGGCCCTGGGGAGGGCCCGGCTCGGGGACCCGCAGCGGGGGTGGGGTGCGGTGCGGCAGCGCTCGGAGGGCTGGCGTCCAGCCAGGCCGGGCACTGACCCCTCGGCCACTGGTGCCCAGCCCCTCTGCTCGCGTCCTTCGGTCTCTGGGCGGGGAGATGGCAGTCCTCGAGTGGCCCTGGCACCAGCAGGAGGAGGCGACGCAGCGGGGCGGGGAGAGTCCTGCTGTACCCCCACCCCCACCCCAGCTCCACTCCAGCCCTGTCTGCTCCCGGCTGCTGCCGGCACTGCCTGGGATCCCAGCCAGCCAGAGGGACAGGGAAGGGGCGCAGGTGGGGCAGAAGGACCTGGGGTGCGGCATTCACCCCTCTCCAGCCCCCAAGTATATGAAGGAAGGATGTAAGCGGGAGGGTTGGGGAGGGGTCAGGGGCCCCCCACACCCTCAGCTAGTCGACAGCCGGAGGACCAGACGTTAGGTCGGGGCCCGGTGACACCCGTGCCCTCCCACGGCCTCCTGGCGGGTCCCAGGGCCCCCGCGCCACGCACACTCCTCTATCGAGGGCTCTTTTCAGTCTCCAAGCACCACTGCGCGTCCCAGGAGATCCCGAGGCCGGCGAAGACCGCTCCCCCCGCCCGGCCGCTGGCGCCAAGGTTACAGCGGGTCCCGCGCGGGGCGGGCCGTGGGGATTTTCCACGGACCACACAGCCCCTCGCGGGCCTTTCCGCCCCGCGAGCGCCACCTCCCGGGACGGGCCACCGCTGGCGGGGCCGCGCGCGCTCTGCGGGACCTGGCCCCTGGCGCCCCCGTGCGGCAGGCGCGTGCGCCCGGCGACAGGTGGAATGACCCTTTCCTCCCCAGAGCTGGGTCCTGCAGCCCCGGCTGACCACCCTGTCCGCCCATCCCTCCTTCCCCTCTTGCAGCTACTACCTGAAGGAATCCAAGGGCAGTCGGCGGTGGCTCCTTTTTCTGGAAGGTGCGTCCCGGGAGCCCAGGCGGCGAGGTGGGCGGAGGCCCCTGGGTGCTTGGGCCCTGACAGTGTGGCTGTGCCCGCAGGTGGCTGGTACTGCTTCGACCGGGAGAACTGCGACTCCCGCTATGACACCATGCGGCGCCTCATGAGCTCCAGAGACTGGCCGCGCACCCGCACAGGTCAGCAAGTCGCAAGCCTCGGATGGCGGGGGCTGCCTGCCGACTGCCGGTTGGGCAGGGCAAGCTGGGCTCCCAGTTCCAAGTTCTGGAAGAACTCCTGTGCTCCTCGCTTTCTAGAGCCCTGAGGAGGCCCCCACCCCGCCCGCCCCCCAGTTCTCTAGCCCTCCTAAGGTCGGGGGCTCCCACCTAGCATCCCTCATTCTTGTTCCACAGGTAACCTCCGGGGGGGGGCTTACCATGGCTGCTCTGTCCCCCACTCATCCCTAGGCCAAAGCAGCCGGTGGAGGGTGGGAGAGGGCCAGGGTCCCATCCACTTGCGTTGTGGCCAAGTAGGATGGCCCACACCCCACGCCTTCCTGTAGTCCCTGTTGCCGCACAGAAAGACCACGCCTCTGTCCCCCCCCGCAGGTACAGGGATCCTGTCTTCCCAGCCGGAGGAAAACCCCCACTGGTGGAATGCCAACATGGTGTAAGAGGGAGCAGAGCGATGCTTCCTGGGGGGGTCATTTCTTTCCTGGGGAGTCCCGTGGGGGGTGGTCCTCCTTGGGGAGGGCCCTTATGGCGGCAGGGAGTCCTTCCTGGGCGGCCCTGTCCTTGGGAGGGTCTTGTCCTCAGAGGGGTCCTTCCTAGGGGGCCCTGTCCTCAGGATCTTTCCTGGGGAGGGGGTCCTTCCTGAGGGCCTTGGGCAGCGGAGGAGTACGGCGGCAGGCTCACCCTGTCCTTGTGTCACAGCTTCATCCCCTACTGCTCCAGCGATGTCTGGAGTGGGGCTTCATCCAAGTCTGAGAAGAGTGAGTCCCTTGCCTTCCTCTCTGTTCCCTGGCCCCGAAAGACGAGGCTGGGAGGCCGGTCTCGTAACTCCATCTAATGCCCTGACAGTGTGTCCCAGGGTGCCTGCCCCAAGCACCCACTGCCGGTTGTCCACGGCTGGCTTGGTCCCTGCAGGGGTCCGCACTCCTGGCTGTTCCCTGGGGAGGGGCCCCCAGCATAGCCTCGGCACCTGTCCACCCCCCTCCAGTTCACCGCAGCCCTGGCCCCGTCCCCTGGAAGAGCCTCCAGGCCCCCTGCTAGAACTCCTGCTCCTTCCAACCTGGAGGCAGGAGGCCTTGCTCTCTGTCCAGGCCCCCACTTGAAGCCGCCCTCCTCCCCCATGCAGACGAGTATGCCTTCATGGGTGCCCTCATCATCCAGGAGGTGGTCCGAGAGCTCCTGGGCAAGGGGCTGAGCGGGGCCAAGGTGCTGCTGCTGGCCGGGAGCAGGTGAGCCAGGCAGGGCGGGGCGTGAGTGCGCAGGGGCTGTGGCAGGAGTGGGGATGGGAGCGCAAGGAGGGGCAGAGCCTGGGACTCTCGAGGGCTCCGGCCTCACCAAGCCTGGGCAGGCAGCGGCAGCGGGAGGGCGGCTGGATGCCTGGGAAGCCTTGGACTACAGTGACCTAGGTAGTCGGTGAGGGGTCAGTTGTGGACCAGGGCACCTTCTCCAGGGGCCGGGGTCCCTGTAAGTGGGATCACACCTGGTTGCGGGCGTGCAGGGGGCCCAGAGGACATCTATAGACGAGATGGTGGGGCCTGAGGCCGCATATGTCGTCTTCGTTTGCAGATAAGGAAACTGAGTCAGAGAGTTAGGGAGAGGGGAAAGAGGAGTGGGAGGAAGTGGGATGGCCTGCCACTTAGCTCATTGCCTTGGGGTCAGTGCCTCTGAGACCCCAAAAGGCCTGTGGGCCTCACACATGACATGGAGCCCGTTGGCAGTTCAGAATGCATCAGGATCCCTGCCTGTCCTGGGGGCTGGGCTGGGGGCAGGGCGGGTTCTGGGGCTGCACCTGGCCTCACGTGCTGCCTTCTCCGCAGCGCGGGGGGCACAGGGGTGCTGCTGAACGTGGACCGCGTGGCCGAGCAGCTGGAGGAGCTGGGTTACCCAGCCATCCAGGTGCGGGGCCTGGCGGATTCGGGCTGGTTCCTGGACAACAAGCAGTACCGGCGCACAGACTGCGTCGACACGGTCACCTGCGCGCCCACGGAGGCCATCCGCCGCGGCATCAGGTGCCGGATGCTGGGATGCTGGCTGGGCCCACCAGCTCCCGTGCAGCGCGCCTGGGGGCGGGGGCGGGGCGGGGGGGGTGCTGGGGGCCGCCTGACCCACGGCATGTACCCAGGTACTGGAACGGGGTGGTCCCGGAGCGCTGTCGGCACCAGTTCAAGGATGGAGAGGAGTGGAACTGCTTCTTTGGCTACAAAGTCTACCCGACACTGCGCTGTGAGGGGCCAGCCATGGAGGGGCCCACGGGCCAGGGCGGGGGGTGGGGGGCAGGGAGTGTCGGTCTAGGCTTCCTCCAGCCTGGAGTCTAGAAGTCGGTCTGGAGACCCCTGCCCGCCTACATGGGAGTGGGGTACCTGAGTCACCCGGGTCTGCCTGGGACCGTCCTGGTCTCAGCGTTGAAAGTCCACTTGGTCCCAGACAAACCAGGACAGTTGGTCACCCCGTCCGTCCACATTCACAGTGAGGAATGTGCTTGGCAGCCGAGTCCCAGCGCTGCCCTTGATGGGGCCTTGGCTGTCCCTCCTCCTCTCCACCCTCAAAGGGACAGCATCACCAAGCTTTGGTCAAAGCGGAGTCCCTGGGAGCCAGGCTGGGGGAGGGGTGGGGGTGGGTGCCAAGGCTCTTCCTCAAACAAGGGTGCTGCAGGGGGCTGGTGACCAGCACTCTGGGGGGGAGCGCAGCCGGTCTGTGAGCCTACCGTGGCACTGGCTGGGACCTCAGAGGCCCTCAGCCTGGACTGGGGGGCCGAGTGCCGAGGCAAGGCCCAGCTGAGCTCTGCCCCCCAGGCCCAGTGTTTGTGGTGCAGTGGTTGTTCGACGAGGCCCAGCTGACTGTGGACAATGTGCACCTCACGGGGCAGCCTGTGCAGGAGGGCCAGTGGCTGTACATCCAGAACCTGGGCCGCGAGCTGCGGGACACACTCAAGGATGTGCCGTGAGTGAACTGAGGGCCGGCGTCTCAGCAGATGCGCAGCAAACCCTCGGGGTTATGGGAGGGAGGGGGCGGCTGGGGGACGGACATCGGGGAGGGTATGTGCTGTGAATTGCGCAAGACTGTTGAAGCACAGACCTGTACCTCTGAAACAAATAATGCAATATATGCTAAGAAAAAAAAAA